CAGTAGGGGAATTGCTGGGTCATATGGAAGGTCAATTTCTAGTTCTTTCAGAAATCGCCACACTGTCTTCCAGAAAGGTTGCATTAACCTCAAACTATAAGAATTTTAGAAAATGCAAGAGACACCCTTATGGAAATTGGAACTGGCAACCAATCCCTATTCAGAACCCGAAAGGCCAATCAATACCATAAGAAATAAGATAGACAAGTGGGACCTCATCAAACTAATGAGCTTCTGTAAAGCAAAAGAAACCATCAAGAGATATTCCCAGTAGGAGGATTGTTGGGTTGTATGGAAGGTCAATTTTTAGGTCTTTAGAAGTTGCCACACTGTTTTCCACAGAGGTTGTACACTCCCATCAACAGTATAGAGTGTTCCCTATTCTCTGCATCCTCTGCATCTGTTGTTTTCTGAGTTATTAGTGATGGCCATCCTGCCTTGAGTTAGTTGGTATCTCAGTATGGTCTTGATTTGCATTTCTTTGATGATTAGTGAGGCTGAGCATTTTTTCCTGTATCTGTTGGCTGCTCTCATATGTCTTCTTTTGAGAAGTGTCTATTCTTAACTTTTGCCCACTTTTTAATAGGACTGTTAGTTTTTTTCCTTTTGGTGCATTTGAGTTTCTTGTAAATCCTGGGTGTTAGACCTTTGTCAGATATATAGTTCACAAATATTTTTTCCCATTTCATGGACTTTCTCCCCACTCTCTTGATGGTTTCTTTTGCTTTGCAGAAGCCTTTCAGTTTGATGAGGTCCAACTTGCCAATCTTATCTCTTATGGCATGGACTATAGGGGTTTTGATCACAAATTGTTTGCCTGTTCCAATTTCTGTAAAGGTTTTCTTGTGTTTTCTAAGATTCTTATAGTTTGAGGTTTTACATTTAGGTCTTTGATCCATTTAGACTTGATTTTTGTGTCTGATGATAGGTAGTGATTTTGTTTCATTCTTCTGCATGTGGTCAGCCAGTTTTCCTAGCACCAAGGAAATACTTTTTGCTTGAGCTCTGAATGAATTGTTCATTCATGCTTTCTTGCTGATTATCAGTGTTCTTCTATATTAAACATGTAAGACACAGAAAATACCACATGAGTTATTATTAACCTTAGAAATCATGAATCATTGTGTTTATAAATGATTGAGCTAAAAGCTAATAGCCCATGGCAATTGCTTTCATGGTTTTGAATACAAACCTTACTGAATCAAAATATACTTTCATGAAAATGAATGTATGGTTTTGGGAACAAACTAATGTTTTTCTTCCAGTTTTTTCCTTCTAGTTGCTGGGTTAATTTTGCTCATTTTTCTATATTTTTAAAAACAGATCTGGTCAAATACTATATATCAAATACTATATCATTATCAAATACTATAAAGATATATAATATAGTCTATTAATTTTGAACTTAGGGAAAGTTAATGTGTTCTGAAGAGCTTTATATGGATGAATAAATAACTTATATATTCACAAAAAAGCTGAAAATGCAAGATTTTCAGAAATACCATTATGCCAGTATTTCAGATAACCTCAGTTCTTCAGATAACTTTGGAAGAGTTTGCACATAAATTTGTCTAATGAAGACATTCAAACTCTCACAGGTTCGTTAAGGAGGCGTTTCATAATCCTAGGTCATTCAGATAAGGGAATGCTTGGGTACCAGCTGTACACAGGTAGGCAATATTGTCTGGGATTTAGTGAGAATAGATAGAGTGAATCAAGTTTTCTCCCATGAATTCCTGTCTTGTTGTTTCCTGCATTTTGCTTGCACTTGAAAAGATTTGGTATGAGTGTCTTATTTCATTCTGTTGGCTATCAATCAGAAGTATTAGTGTAGTTTTTGTAATTCAGTTCTCAAGATAGGAGTTTTTGCTGTCTAATTTTAATGTTTGTTTTTACTTTCCCAAGGAGAAAAGTTTTGTAAAAGCTTAAACTAATTGATTACTTAGTAAACATGCAGCTTGACAATCTCTTTTATTTATGAGTATATCATTTCGATTTCAATTGGTGTAACAAATATGAGGTTGCTTTTAAGTGAAATAATTTAAAGTACATTAAGGAAGCTCTGTGTTCCTGAGATAGAAATTCTGTGTGTAGCTTTTGAAATATGAACACTTACTACCTTTTACATGGTGGAAATTCAGATATTAATATCTTATTTCCTTCAAATAAGTTATACTTTTAGTGTTGATACTTAAGGATATTAGTATCTAAAATTTGCACCTTTAAAAAATATCGTATTACAGGACCTTTGGAAGAAAAAAGCTGTTTCACTATGTATGAAGTTTTGTATAACTCAGCATTTCATGGCTAAATTTTTAATTAGTGAGTTATTAGCATGTAATTAGAAATGTTTTTAGATTCTTCATGACTGACCTACTGATGAATGTAGCACTGTATCCTAAATGCAGTTCATGTTGTGTTCAGACTTAATTGAATCGTTACGTTTTGGTTGCTCTGCTTGAAACAAAGCTCGTGTGTAAAAGAATATACAGTTTTTTTCCCCACCATAGGAGATACTCTCTTAGCATTAGTAGGGTTAGTATTGTTAAGTCAACAACAACAAAACTCACACAAAATAACCCAAATTTCCTTTATGCCCTACAGATGTATCTTGTGATTTTTCCAGAAGGTACAAGGTATTACACTGCAAGACCAGGAAAAGTCCTTTCAGCTAGTCAGGCATTTGCTGCTCAACACGGTAGGTAAAAATTTGTATTTGAGCAAAACATTTTAAATGAAAATGACCTTTTTAGTTTTCTCCTGAAGAAGATATTCGTGTTTTACAACAATTGAATGAATGGATATGTATTTATTCCTTGAATGGATGTATGTCTTATCTCTTAGAAAATGAAACTTCTTCTTAATTTGTTTGCAGGCTGTTACATATGTCTGAAAGGTTAAGTTCAAGTGCTTACTACAATGCTATTTTGTAGGTTGACATATGTAAGTTGGAATCCAAACTGCAGCTTCTGTTACTGATATGGTCGCAAGTTGCCTAATATAATTGAGCTTCAGTTTCTTCGTTTCTTAAAAAAAATATATATACCTTATGGGTAGACCTAAATTTGTGTAAGAATTAAATGACAAGATTTAATAAGCCTCTAAATCCGTTGCTTAATGGAGACTATTACACAGAGTTAGCTGAAAGCACTTGGAAACTATTAAAGTCCTCAACAGTGGTGATGTTCTTAATATCTATAGTTTAGAAAATTGGATAACTAATACCCCAGTAAACTATGCAGTTTAACCAAATTGGGAAATATACAGAAAACAGTGGCTACACTGTGTTCTCAGAGGAGTCTTTGAAGATTGACTGTGATTTAGTATGTGGTCTCCATATATTGATCATCAAGCACTTACTGAGCAAATGTTTTGCTTGTGACATGCCAGGGTGTGTGACAGTGCTCTCTGATGGAACTTTCTGTAGTAATGATGATGAAGTCTTTATTTACATTATCCAGTGTGCTTGCTCCTACCCACATGGTTATTGAGCATTCAAAATATGACTAGGGCATCCAAGTGAATGAATTTTTAATTTTATTTAACTTTAGTTTAATTAAAATGGTAAGGTAGAACTCTTACAAGGTGCTTATAAGAGAAGATATGTCATATGTATATGAAATTGTTTGTAATAGTACATTCTTATTTTATTTTATTTGAGAGATGAAGATCTAGCTGCTATGTTGCCCAGGCTGGTTTCAAACTCCTGGCCTCAAGTGTTCCTCCCTCCTTGACCTCCCAAAATGTTGAAATTATAGTTGTGAGCCACCACACTTGGCCTCTAATGATACATTTTTAAAATGCTAGTTTGTTTCACTCCAGGTATACATACCCTGCCTGTATCAAGGAATGGTTCAGGAACAGAAAGGCTCAATTTGTCTCCCAATCTGTCAACTCCACTTTGACTTTTACTGCTTCCCTCATCTGGTCTAGACATCCCATTCTGGCATTTTCATCGCTCTTTGGCAGTACCATTGTCTGTGTTGCCCTTTTCACATTTAAAAACAAAACAAAACCATCTCCCTCAATTTTACATTTCCCCCTTGCCAGCATCCTCATTTACCCCTTTCATTAACAGGCAACAACAACTTCTGAACCTGTAGTTTTCTTACAGCTTTTTCAGTTCTCACTCACCCCTCAGTTCTTGTGATCGGATAGGAAGTTCTTGATACTTTCTCTTACTTTTCTGTGATTTTTTTCCTATCTTCTTTCAAACGTCCTTTGCTTCATTCTTTCCTGTTTCATATGTTGTTTGCAATGTCTGATTCTGGTCTTTTTTTTTCTTCGAGTCAGTGTCTCACTTTGTTTCCCAGACTGGAGTACGGTGGGACAATCTCGGCTGACCATTTCCTGGACTTCCTGGGCTGAAGGGATCAACCCTTCTTAGCCTCCTGAGTAACTGAGACCACAGATTCATGCCACCACGCCCGGCTCATTTTTAAATTTTGTATAGAGATGAGGTCTTGCTATGTTGCCCAGGCTCGATTTCGGTCTTTCCTTCATTTCATATTCTTTATTTTCCATGGTAGTCTTCCTCTAAATCCGTGGCTTCGGCCACTATTTATTTGACTGCTGGTAACTCACAGAAAGCTTTCTCCCATTGGCATCTCTGCCTAATTGTAGACCTGTGTATACAGTTGCACACTGGGGAGCTTCACTTGATGTCTCAAAGGCATATCCGACTCAGGATGTCGAAGATAGAATGGGAGAAAGCTTAATTAATTATCCTTCCACCCCCCACTCATATTTCCTATCTCAGTGACTCTGTCCTTCTGTTTTCTTTCTTTCTTTCTTTCTTTCTTTTTTTTTTGAGTTTGGAGTCTCACTCTGTCGCCCAGGCTGGAGTGCAGTGCCATGCTCACGGCCACCGCAGCCTCGACCTGCTGGGCTCAGGTGATCCTTCCGCCTCAGCCTTCCAAGTAGCTGGAACTACAGACAACGTGCCACCACGTCTGGCTAATTTTTATTTATTTATTGTAGAGATGAAGTCTCACCAAGTTGTCAAGGCTGCTCTCGAACCCGTGGACTCAGTCCTCTTACCTCAGCCTCCCAAAGTGCTGGGATTATAGGTGTGAGCCACACGCCCGGCCTGTCAAGTTTTCTTGCCTAAGTTTCATTAAGAAAAAGAGACAGGGATGTGCTGACAGCAGTTACATCCCTATTGCAGGACACGCAGAGATGGGCAAGAGGGAAGATTCTCCACATGGGCCTCGCAGATATCTGATGCTGCTTTAGGTTTAAACCTTTTTCTGTGATTTGCAACGTTTTCCTTTAGCTAATTTTCCTAATTTTCTTTAGAATCACTTTAGGTATTTTACATTCAAGTGTTTAGTAAGGAATTCTGAATTTAATGTATCTTCATCTCCCTCCTGAACCCATTAACGTGAGCCCCTCGTGTGTGCGTGAATGTGCATGTGTGGGCGTTTTTAACCATAGCAGCTAGCAGAGATGACATACTTAAACTTTTTGAACCCCAGTAATAGAAAACAGGAGTTCAGTGATGTGTCTACAGTGGCAAGCCAAATACCCAGACCTTTCAGGTTGATCTTTTTTATCTTCAAGATTTATGAAGTTTAGTTTTCATTCTATGAATAACAGTGGCTATTGTATAGGTTCTAGAGTCCTTTCAAAACATGAAAACAGAGGAATAAGCTATAGAGGAAATTTTTATGTAGCCAACTGAATAATAATAATATTAATAGTAATTGCTGTATGCCCAGGCTGGTCTTGAATTCTTGGGCTCAAGCAGTCCTATAATCTTGGCCACCCAAAAGTGCTAGGATTACAGGTGTGAGCCACCATACCCTGCCTAAAAATTATTTTTATGTCTGAGACATCATGTAAACAAATTTAGGTGGCAAATGGCAAGTTAATAATATTTTGTAATATAGGGCATTAGTATACTTAACATTAAAAAGTTTTTGCAATGAATAAGAAAAAACAAGCTAAAAAATGGGAAAGGGACCTGAATAAGAGATTCAAGAATGACCCACACATTTAAACAAATGTTTATCTTTTCTTATAAATAATCTCTAGCCTACATGTTTTTAGTGTTAGCATAGTAACTTGCTTATTAATAGGGTATAGAAAGATACTGAACTAAGCATTATAAGGTCTTGCTAGCTGTGTGACTTTGAGCAAGATTATATCTCTCTGAGCCTCAGTTACTTAATTTCTTGGAATCGAGTATATAATGTAAGTTAAATACCGTGCAGACTGAATTCTGTATATAAACATAACATTTTAAAACATGAATCTTTAAAGTATTTTTGTCCAACGTATTTATCATTTATTTATATACAATATTAGCTGAAAAATTTCAGTTATACCCAATCACCACCATAAATGACCCCTAGGAGGAAACTCAGAAAAGGAGATAGCAGATTATCTTTAGTGCTGTTCAGGAGATCTGAAACAGAACTAAATTCAGGAGCTCTGGAGATGGGAACAAGGCAAAGGAGGTACCAGAACAGACGCTGGATACCAACCAGGAAGTGTTAACCTAGTTAGCTGCTATTTTTCTCTGTTTAGGGCTCAGGGCCTTCATATAGTTCTCTAGAGGCAGAGTCAAGTCTCAATATGGTGGACTCAAGCTAAGCAGGCAAATAAGAGCACCTTGGCATTTGGTTTTCTCTCTGTTGAATGTCAAATTGGCCTCTGATTTATTCTTGTAAAACTGTTTTTGACCAAAGATTTCAGGAGAGTGAGTGACTTGTCACTGTTCAGAGATTGTAGATAATCCCATGGATGGGCTAGAGGAGTTTATAGGCTCTGGGTTAGGTATGGGAAGTGGCTTCTGAGCTATAAAGAAGGACTGAGTTTTGTTTGTCTTAATGGTAAGAGTTTTTCATGTTATTTGAATCCTTGGAAATTAGTAGACCGTGTGTTAATAAATATAGGAGAGATTGCTATGGTTTTTTATTACCTTACAAATCAACACCTCACTAAACCCACTCTTTGAGCTTCCATTCCTGCCATTCCTGAAAATTCTGACCCAGCATACACGAAGCCGCTCGTATGTAAAGCTGGCATGTCGTCACTTCCCAGCTCTTGCCTTCCGGTATCTTCCGGTGCGGGGAGTGACCAGTTGTTTTTCTCGCAGGCATCTGTGTCACCACAGTTCCCTTGGTTTTCTTCATCCTCATTGGCTGTATTGGCTGTTCCCTTTCAAGAGTGGGGTACTGAAACCTGGAATATGCTGGATTTGGATCTGATACAGAGGCTTTGATGTAGAAAATATGTTTGGACTAATTGAAGATGCGCCCAGTGTTTTCCTCAATTCGATTTTAAACAATTTTTGTTTACATTATTACTAATGGCTGTCCCTTATTCATGCCACAAAGCTGATTTTTTTAGACCTTCATTATAACTTTTAGTTTTTAAAAATATCACCTTTCTATTACTAACTTACTTAGAGTAGTAATTAATTATTCTTAATGAACATCAAAGAGTGACTTTGTGAAACCTTGGACTTAATAAAATTGGATGGGCTCTAATAGCAAAGAAGGAAGTGTTAACTAATCTAGTTAACAAATAAATGTTTCCCAACTTAGTATACTTTCAGATTTTTGCTACAAGTTTGTGAATAAATCGAGCTGCTTCTGCCCTGGGTCGGAAGTCAGATGTGTAATTGTGGGAAGCTTTTTCTTTCCCACATTGCCCTGCATTTTAAAGATTCTTCTGTGGGACAGTCCCACCATATAATAGCTGTTCTTCCTTCTGCAGCTACTTTTCCTTGGAAAGAGGCCAGTAGAAAACCTAGACTAGTTTTTTTTCTAGTCTATTTTCATGTCACTTCTCAAGAGCTACTGTTTTCTGTTAAATTGTCAGTAGTTTAGTTAAGGAAAAGGGAGGTAATAGAAACTAAGAATGGTAGAAGAGCAAATCCTTAACACTAGTAGGAACACTAATGACTGCAGTTAGTTCTAGATAATTGCAGTTAAAGAAGTTTTTAAAAGTACATCAGGTATACCCAAGAAAATTGCAAGCACATGTTCATACAAAAACTTGTTCACATGTAATATTCACACACTGCTAATATGAATGCTCACAGCAACACTATTCATAAGAGCCAAAATGTGGAAAGAACCCAGATGTCCATCAACTGATGAAGAGGCAAACAAAATGTGACCTGTCTACACAATGGGATGTTATTCAGCCATAAAAAGGAATGAAGTGCTGACACAGGCAACCACACGGCAGAACCTCAGAAACATGGCGCCAAGTGAGGGAAGCCAGACCCTGTATGGTTTTCTTGATATGGAGTGTCCGCAATGAGCAGTTCCGTAGAGACAGAAGGCAGAGCAGTGGCAGCCAGACTGGGAGAGGAGGTTGCAGGGGCCGCACGGTGTCTCTCCACAGTACTGAGAACTGAGGTCCGAAAGTCAGTGGTGGTGATAATTGCACAGCTCTGTGAACAGATTCGAAGCCCCTGAACTGCACACTTTAAAATGGTGAATTTTAGAAAGCATACCAAGAAGCTAGAGTCTCAGTTTATCCTAAAAATACCAGGTCTGTGTTTCACAATACACGGGCCATGTCAGCTCTTCAGCTCTTGTGCACAGTGGAGGTCATTGTTGGAGTCTCCCTCTCCCCCAGGCTCTGTGTGAACAGATGTAGAGCTAAAGGGAACATAGACTAGGAGTCAGCAAGCCCAAGTGTGCTCCTGAAACATCTGGAGTCACATGGGCAGGATGCTGTGGCCTTCATTCAGCTGCCAGAAACGAGACTCTTTGTCAGGGTTTCCTAAATTGAAGGATTTCAGTAGGCCATGATCTTCTGGGGGCTCCATTTTCTGACAGCTTCCAACACAGTGTCTTGTATATGTCAACATTTAATAAATAGATATCCAATGAATGTTGGTTTAAATGGAAACAGTCATATGACTAAAGTGTTATCTAAACATAAAGCCCTGTAGATATGAAGTTATGGCATTGATAGATTCTGGTCTAATTGTGGAAATTTAAACTAATTGCGATTTTTAACTTTTTTTTTTTTTGAGTTGGAGTCTCACTCTGTCGCCCAGACTGGAGTGCAGTGGCATTCTCCCAGCCACCGCAACCTCTACCTGCTGGGCTCTGGTGATCCTTCTGCCTCAGCCTTCAAGTAGCCGGAATTACAGACGTGTGCTACCATGCCCAGCTAATTTTTGATTTATTGTAGAGACGAGGTCTTGCCAAGTTGCCTGGGTGATTCTCGAACCCGCGGTCTCAGGCAATCTACTTGACTTGGCCTCCCAAAGTGGTAGGATTACAGGCTGAGCCACTGAGCCTGGCCAAGATTTTGAACTTAATGTATTTTATTATATAAGTATTTTGTAACCAATTTATGGTCACAATGAATTGGCTTCTTTTCTAGGCCTTGCAGTATTAAAGCATGTGCTGACACCCCGTATAAAAGCAACTCATGTTGCTTTTGATTCTATGAAGAGTTATTTGGATGCAATTTATGATGTTACGGTGGTCTATGAAGGAAAAGACAACATGCGGCAGCAAAAGCATTCTCCATCCATGACTGGTAAGTTTGGTTCATACACTGGAAACATGTCTACTCTATTACCTCTGCAATTCATGTATTAGTGAGTATATATTGCGTTTTTCAAAAATCCGTAAGTGTACTTCCTACATTTCCTTGATCCTACATTTCCTTGATGTGTTTTTCACGATGTCATTAATATGGAACAGTTGAAATTTCGCTAGTCCTGCTAAGTTTGGTATTTCTTGGCTGCCATAGTAGTCCTTTGGACTCACCGATGATCATTATTACAGCCTCTTTCTACCCAAAGTTCACATATAGAAATGGAGAGGAAGGAATGAGGAAGGGGAGTACTCACCTGGCAATATTGAGGTGTTCATTAATGGTCAGTGCTAATCTTTAAGTGATTTTTCATAAATTATGTATGAAATTTGGTATCTTTGAATGACCAGAAGAAAGATGGTTAAGTGTAGCTTTCTTCTTTCTTTTTTTCAAACATTTGCAAGGTTTTAAGGATCTCTGAACTGTTGTCTATGTCAAATAGAACCAGGAAGAAAATAGAATTTAGATTATCAGAGTAGTTTAGTTAAACTAACCAAAGATATTCTTGACTGTTAGAAAAATTTAAACATGGGATTAGGCAAACAAGGAAGTGTGTGGAGTTTCCATCTTCCTTTCAAAGTATCCACTTGAGCTGGGGTCAAGAGCAAGAACACTGGCCTTTATATTTTACCTTGGCAGCTGTTTCAAGTTGAACTGACATGCTTCTCAGAGGGCTAGTATCAGTAGACTCTATGAAGGCAGATATTCAAAATATGAACCACCAACATATTTTTCAGTGAAACCTACTCCTGTGGCATCCTGAGTTTGATGTGCCTTGGAAGTTTTATGGAATGATATTCTCAGCTTGTGAGGCATTTGTCTTTTTTTAATCTATTTTTTTGAGTCAGGATCTTACTCTGTTACTCAGACTTAAGTACAGTGACACAGTCATGGCTTATCGCAGCTTCAACCTCCTGGGATCTGATGATCCTTCCACCACAGTCTCCTGAGTAGCTGAGACTATAGGAACACACCACTATGCCTGGCTAACTTTTTTTTTTTTGGTAGAGATGGGGTTTCCTTATATCAGGCTGGTCTCAAATTCCGGACCTCAAGCAGTCCTCCCATGTCAACCTCCCAGAGTGCTAGGATTACAGGCAAGAGCTACCGCGCCTGCTTGGAATGTCTTTCTATGTATCCTAAATTGAAATAAAAGGATGGAGTGCTGCTAAAACGCATGTGCACACTGTGGTGTAAGCACTCCTGCAGCACCCGAAGTCTCCCTCATAATGACCCTATCAGGTCATGATTATGCTTGTCGCTGTTTTACAAACTTGGACGTATAGGCACAGAGAGGTCGACATTGCTAAGGGTTGCACAAGGTTTTGAGACCCAGTGTGTGCCTGACTCCACTGTGTGTGCCTGAACCAATGCACAGTTCTGCTTGGCATGTCTTAGAGACTGCAGTTATTTAAGGGCTCATGGCTATTTTGCAGTAAGAATTTTGGTTCCTGAATCAAGTGTATAATATGTCAAAATATGGCAAATACTAAGAAAACAAGGAGTACCAGTGATGAGCAGCTATGGCCAGCTCACAGAGGAGAGGCAGCTGCTCCCCCAAGGTGGATGTGGCCTCATGGCAGTAAGCCAGGAGCTGGGAGTCAGGGCTTCATAAGTGCCTCTAAGGGCCAGTTGTTGACCAGGTCAGGGGGTGCACCAGTGAACTGACCCGACTCCCCGTGTCCTTGGGGAGCACATGATTTGGGTGAGGAAAGCAAAAGTTACCTGGTGACAGGTGATACTCTGGGAGGGGGCTGGTGGCGATAGCATTTTGGGATCCCTTCCTAGGATGGTATGGATCTATCCTAGGACCCAGCTTCCTGTTCCAGAGTTGCCTGAAGCACTAAAAGTTGTTCTACGAAAAATCCCATCTGGTACTACTGATTTAATTAGTGGCTGCATGACTGTAGTCTAATTGGAAATTATAACATGCTCTTCTACTTCAACTTGAAACCCAAACACCAGTTTATAATCCTTATTTTTTAAATTATTTACTTAGTTAAGGAAATAATGTATTTTTCCATCATTTTAAAACTTTTGCCTTATTGCCTTATTTTCATTATATTATATAACCATGAGTTCTAAAATAGTAAAATTATAATATTTTTGATTTCTGTTAGAATTTCTCTGCAATGAATGTCCAAGAATTCATATTCACATTGATCGTATAGACAAAAAAGATGTCCCAGAAAAACAAGAGTGTATGAGGAGATGGCTTCATGAACGCTTTGAAATAAAAGATAAGTGAGTAACAACAATACCAGTACTTGAATAACTTTGGTTCAATTTAGCTTCAATATAGTAAACAACTTCAAATTAAAGTTTTATTATCTCAAGAATGCCTTTTATAAACTCAAGTCAGATCTTACTCCATGCCTATCTGTTCATGTTTTACAAGACACTGTAAAAGAATTTGGTATGGTGGATCCATGTATTTTCAGTTACAGTGTTTCTTGGATAATGCTATGTGGTAAGATATGAAACTTTTTTTAAAAACATAAAACACTTGCCAACATTAGATACCCAAATCTGCCCTTTTGGGTCAGATAAAGTGACGTTGCTGCATAAGAACCACTGTGCGGCCTGCATGTATGGAAAGAGAGGGCTCTGGGAAGTACAGAACTGTGTCTGTCCTGAGGATGGACATGACACTGGCTTGTTTGTTGGAAAAGGAAGAAGCAAGTGACATGTGTAGGATCAAAATATCTTCTGTTATTAGTATTTTGAGGCCCCTAGACACTTTTGGGCTTGACCTTGTGTTTGTGCTGATGTCACTTGGGAGCAAATAGCAGTGTTGAGCCTTGCTGAGAGTTACCTGTAAGTAGTAAATCCCAGATGTTTTGGGATGCCCTTCCCTTCAGGTGAGGCATAGCTTAGTGGTGCAGCCGAGAGTGACTTGGTGCTCACTGAGAACCTGGGAGTAATGGGTGATATCAGTTGAGTATGTTAGAGTATCTTCATACAAGAAAGAAATTTCAGGGTTTTCTTTTTAGGAAGATAAAGAATGAGTCTTAGATTCAGATATGATACTTAGAAGTTCAGTTTTGTTGCATGAAAATTTTTTTTTGGATGAAAACTTTATGATATTTACCATTTGTTTTATAATCGATGAAGTTTTATTCTTTCTGATATATATCCTGTTTTTGAGCGATATATTTTGAACATGTATTCTTTTTATCCTCTTTTTGAAAAACGTATCCATTAGTTATAGGACGCACCACGTTGAACAGTAAGGTTTATAAAGAGTTTAAAAAATGCTTCCAAAGTTATATTTATAGTCAGATATTTTGCTCAACTGTTTTATTCTTCTGTGTCTTTCTTCTCAGAATACTGTCATCGTTCTTCCTTTCCTTGTATTACAGCAAAATATTTCCTAATAAATCCTTCTGAGTTAACCTTAATAGGTGAAAATTATTGAAAGTATAGTCGGGCATGGTGGCTCAAGCCTGTAATCCCAGTACTTTGGGAGGCCGAAGTGAAAGGATTGCCTGAGCCTATGGGTTTGAGAACAGTCTGGACAACTTGGCGAGACCTCATCTCTACAATAAATACAATAAATAAATAAAAATCAGTCAGGTGTGGTAGCTCACAATTGTAGTTCCGGCTACTTGGAAGGCTGAGGTGGAAGGATCACTTGAGCCCAGCAGGTTGACACTGGGGTGGCCGTGAGCGTGCCACTGCACTCCAGGCTGGGCAAGAAGTAAGACTTCAACTCAAAAAAAAATTTTTTTTAAGTATAATAGGTTGAAAATGAAACTTTATGTTAAATTTCTAACTTTCATTGACTCAAATGTACATGACATGGTTTATCAAGCCAGTCATTCAGAACTATTTTGGCTAGGAAGAAATTCAGAAAGTGAGATCTTGACATGAATATCTGTGCTCAGAAGAAAGACCGAACAATATTTATTATCCCATTTTATGTTGTAGGTATTTCTGTGTATTTCAGATGAGTGTGGACTTTAAACAGTGGCTATCTATAGGGGATGCAATTTATAAAGCGTATTTTTCTTTCTGTACTTTTGTGTTTGAGATTATTATGTTCTGCTACTGCATCTCTTTAGATAGGAAAATGAATGTATTGTTTTCCTTATTTTACCTGCCTTTATAATTCCATGAGAATACAGGCTTTTTTAGGAAATGCCATGTACAGTCGGCCCTCGATATCCACCTATCCACATCTAAAGATTTAACCAACCCCAGATTGAAAATATTCAGGAAAAAGCCCAATAGAAATAGCAGTATTACAATAAATAATAATACACCACTTTACATAGCATTTACATTGTATTGGGTACTACAGGTACTCTAGAGATGATTTAAAGTACACAGGAGGATGGGCATAGGTTATGTGCAAACACTGTGCCATTTTATACCAGGGGCGTGAGCATCTGCAGAGCTTGGTGTCCATAGGGGCCTGGCATCCACTTGCTGCAGATACTGGGGACGCCTAGGTCAGGACTGCCGCTCCTTTCTAGTGGAATGGGAGCTGGAGGAGGAGGAGGAGAAGCTGTCATGGGCTGTTACACGTTTGTGAGTCCGATTGCTACAAAATTTTATAAACAAAGAGTTTAAAAAACAAAAACATCCTCACAAAATGGCTTAAAACCTTTTGTTTTGAAATTTTACATGTACAATTCATATATACTAATCCTAGGACATATGAAAGATATTTTAAAAGACTAGATGCTTCATTAAACCAAGTTTCTGGATGTTTCCTGATTCGTGCTTTTTTTCCAAGGACCTGTAGAACTTCTCCAGCACGTAGCAGGTTCTGAGGGATACTGATTGACTTGGAATAATGAAGTGACCCACACTGAAGCTCTGAGTTTAATCTTTCTCATTCTGGCCACAGGATGCTTATAGACTTCTATGAATCACCAGATCCAGCAAGAAGAAACAGACTTCCAGGGAAAAGTGTTAATTCCAAACTAAGTCTTGGGAAGACTTTGCCATCAGCACTGTTCTTGAGTGGTGTGACTGCTGGCATGCTGATGACCGAGGTTGGAAGGAAACTGTATGTAAACACGTGTATCTACGGGACCTTGCTCGGCTGCCTGTGGGTCAGTCTCAAAGCGTAAACAGCAGCATCTCCAGGCAGCGGGATGTGCTCCATGGTCTGTCCTCGGCGGCCACACATGACATCAGTTGTTTCCTGAATTTAGTAAGAAGTGTAAATAAAGCCTTGTTGATTGAGCATTGGATAAGAGAATTTTTGACTGAAGCTGATGGGAAGTTGGTCTCGGGCAAGCACACATGGTTTCACAGCGTTAGCGCCGGAGCTGCAGCAAGTAAAAGCTAAGCAGGGTTTCTGCTGTTCTCACAGTTCCATGAACTAAGGACAACTTCAGATTAGTAGCATTCGACAGTTTGCCATCATTTTGTAATTCAGATGGTTGTATTTTTGAACATTAATTTGCAGCATATTTCACTATATTTGTTATTACACCTTGACAGCTCTAAATGCTAAAGTACTTAGTATCTCACAGCTGGGTAATATTTCCCTTGTTCCTAATTTCTGTAAGCCAATGGAAGAAATTGTATTTCGATATCAAGATGGTCAAAGAAAAGGGCAAAACATGGGTTCCTGGGCAAGCTCTGTTGAGCTCATGTTCTGTTACTTGGCATGTTTGCACACCCTGTACTCTACATGAAAGAATAATGTATAAAATAAGAGAATGAAGTTTGAGTTAAGATTATGACTGAGTCATTGTAGCAGAGCTTCAAATGGCTCAGTGTTTTGAAGATTGAAGCTCTGCTATGAGCACTTGATAGCATTGGTGCCATAAGTGCTTGGAAACATCGAGGTTTCTGGTTTTTTGTTTTTGTTTTTTTAAGATCACGGTAATCAGTGTGAACCTTGGCTGATCCCTAAGTTCCTAGGTATCCAAGCTAATGGGCCCTCACGGACATTCTGACTAGATTTACCGGCACGCGCCTTTTGCCCACTTTTCTTTGATTTAACAGAATGTTTCCTTCACATGTCTGTGCGCTGCAGCTTGTCCCCGGCGTCTTGTCAGTGGCGCTGCAGTTGGCACAGACCATAAGGGGAGCAGGGCGCAGCCGGCGTTGCCCTCCTAGGAGCGGGACTCTCAGCCCTTTGCGGCGTCACACCAGCTATGCAGAAGCATCTTGTGCTTGTCTGCTCAGGAAGTTTGCCTTCCTTAAGCCAGTGAAATAGTCTTGATTCATCGGGACTGAGTGAATCTGTTTCTTGCCCGTGAGTTGTAATGGAGTGCCACGGCATTGGGTGTCACCTCAGAGCAAGCACTGTGTCCAGGAACCCAGTCACACCGCCCCGTGGGACAGTGTGTCCCATGTGGGTACCTCTGTGATGTGCGATCTCCTCTGCTTCTGTGTCATGATTTAACTTGATTGCCTGCTAATCCTTTGAGGGAGCATTTCACCTACTGCTAATGGGTTTTTTTGCAAAATTATATCCATGGTGCACATGAAACACGCCAATTGAATCATAAATAAAATGAAAAAATGATTAAGGGAAAATTAAGTGACTGTGTTACATTGCTTCTCCAAAACCAGAGAGTAAGCCGTTTCAAGCAACGTCTTCAAAGAGTCATGTGGTGTGAGTTGATTTGTGTATGTTAGTATGTGTGTGTATACACACACTCATGTACACTCAGGGTACTATTGGCTTAATTATGAAAGGGGTCGTAGGTAAAACTTAGGAAAAGTGTGTTCATGCCTCGCTGTAATTATCTCTTCCCTGTCATATAAAATTTAGATCAATCCCATTTCTTTAAGTACATTTTCTAACAGTCCTAAATTTATAAATTATTTCTAATTAGACCAGAATAAATGTAAGTCATGGAACTTATTTTAAGTCTCATATATGTGCTCTAAATTTCAAGAGGCAATACCACTGGAATTATTTGGAGTATAATTCATTATAACAAGGCAAAGTAACCTGCATAAGATCACTTGAATATCATGTTTCTTGGGACTGTACTTCTCACAAAAGGTCTATAAAATATGGTAGTTGAAAACAATTTTGTGTCAAAATGTTTGGAAAATTAGAAGCTTCTCCTTAACCTGTACTGATACTGACTTGAATTATTATTTTCTAAAATTATGCCTACTTGCACCCTTCTCACATATCATTTAAACTTTTGTTTGTATTATTATTGTTGATTTACAGCTTTGTTATTACTTAGTTTTTCTTTATAAGAATGCCATCAATGTGCATGCTTTTATGTTTTTCAGAAAAGGGTGTATTTGGATGAAAGTAAAAAAATAAAATCTTTCACTGTCTCTCATGTCTGTGCTGTTTAACATTTTTAGTCCCAAAATTCACCTAGAGACTCCATCATATAATACAGGCTTAATGACTGGCTCTACATCCTGAACTTATAAAACCATAATATTTTTTTCTTAAGTCTTGTCTAAAGTTTTAAAAAATACATTAAAATACTCATATTTGTGAGGCAGTGTTTTGGTTTGGTTAACTTAACTCTAATTATAAGACGCACAGCAAGTATTAATTGCTTGGGAATTCCATAATTGTTAAGCAGACTCTATGAAAGATGTCACATGCCTAAAATTAGGCACATTGTTGGGTAAAAGTGCCAGTCTGGCTAATTCTCCCATCATACATGCTAATAATTTTTCATATGTTTAATTTCCGTGCAATTTTTTTTTTTTTTTATTTAGAGAGATGACAGTTTTCCTTTATTTAGGTTACATAAGCTTTATTTTTTTCTTTTGTAATATTACATGATTTATAATTATGTTCTCTGAATACTTTGGTATCATAAAAGAAAGGAAATCTAGAAATATGTGAATAAAATTTACCCATGAGATACAGGCACAGAGTAACTCCTGAATATATACCAGACTCCCATTCAGGAAGACAGAAATGTCTGCCAAAGCATTATTCCTGGGTACAATTGCAAGTGTATAGTAAAAATAAATTTGCCCTCAACAAGAGTTTGTTTTCAAAGTATTTAGATTGAAGACCGAGGAAAAGACCTTGGCAAATATTCCATGTACTGTTTTGTGGGATTACATATCTTTCTTGACAAGCTCCTTTGGACCAGTTTTCCTTATGAGTAACATACTTTTTAATTAAAATTTGGTTAACCTGAAATATTATATTGCCATTTAGTATAATTTGTATTATATACAGTCTATGTAACACCCAGTCATTAGAACGGACAGAAGCACTTTGCTCAAACTCATATTTGAAACATTCTGATATTTGATATTATATAGGTAAAATATTCATATGATTAACTGGATTTAAAGATTTTTATTAAAATATGGAATGCTAATATATAGTCATGGATTTCTGTTTAGAGAAATTATGACTATGATATTGTCTTTTGACATCTTTTCCAATTTTTGTATGAAAATTAAATCTATTTTAGCAACGGGGTCATACATGAGGACAAAGATATACCTTGTTATCACATAGAATACATACTATCCTGAACAGGAAAAAAAGTTATTTCTAAGAAAGCCACGGGAGGCTGAGGTGAGTGGATTGCCTGGGCCCGCGGGTTCGAGACCCGCCTGGGCAACTTGGCGAGACATCATCTCTACAATAAATCAAAAAATCAGCCAGGCATGGTAGTGCATGCCTGTAATTCCAGCAACTGGGAAGGCTGAGGCAGAAGGATCCCCTGAGCCCAGCAGGTTGAGGCTGCGGTGGCCGGGAGTGGCCACTGCACTCCAGTCTGGGCGACAGAGTGAGATGCCAACTCAAAAGAAGAAAGAAAAAAAAGAAAAGCAACTACAAAGAGAAAGTTCAGGTACTTCTAAGATGTTGAAGGAAACCTGGTGTGTAGAGCAGACTCTCGACAAATGTCTTTTGACGAGATCCGTTCTCTTGTGTGAATTATTACTGGTTCATGTTTTTAAATGTGACTATATAAGAAAGGTATATTTTACAGTTTTATCAGTTCATGTATCTTAAGAAAGGGGATGCTACTGATACTCTCTGTGTCCAGCGAGGGAAAATACTTGACTAAGTGTTCTGTCTCCTTATGGTTATTTTGGGAATAAATTCTGACTTGTGTTATTGTGTTTATTGGTATTTCATCAAGTCAGCAAAAAGAAAATACGAATCTCAAGTTATTTGGTGATTAAAAAGTTATATATGTGATGAAGTGTACATATATGTCTTATGTATGTATATGTTTTCACTGCCAAATATAGCTGGGGAGGCCACATGCTGTTTTAAAGGTTCACCTGTTTTGAGATGAGGCAAGCTTGCAGTCAGGCAGCGTGATGCCTGACGCCCCTGGGGCCCAGTCTTCTTTGTCATCTAAGCTCTGTGCAGCAGGGGGCAGGACCCCTGAGAGTAATGAGGGGTAGGCTGCCAGGTTTTGGATTCAGGTTCTGCCAATGGCTAGCTATTTGACCCCAGGCAAGTTATCTAATGTTTCTGTGCTGTAAGCCCCTCATCTGTAAGATACCGTGTTAACCTCAAAGGTCGTTGAAGCCAAGTGAGTCAATATATGTAAACACCACGTGTGGTGCATGGATCATTGCAGGTAATACACAAGTTATTGTGCTTCCTGCGCCTCTCGATTTCACATAGAAGGAAATGGAGGCCTAGGATGTTTGAATAAAATGCACCAAATCGCATAACTAATACTTCTAGAAGAAAAATGTGCTCTCATTTTTTCTGTTGAACAAAGATGGAATTCAATATTTCCCAACTATTTACATGTCTTTAAAAGTGAATGGTCTAAGGCCGAGGTGAGTGAATTGTCTGAGTCCACAGGTTTGACACCCACCTGGGCAACTTGACGAGACCTCATCTCTACAATAAACCAAAAATTAGCCGGGCATGGTAATGCATGCCTGTAATTCCAGCTACTTGGAAGGCTGAG